TAAAAAATCCTTCATCACACTCCAACAAATAATCCCAAATAATTCCACATATATATGTATGTTTGTTTTAAGAATCGGAGATCTAGTGCTTCATGAGCGCGAGAAGAGACAAAACAATCGAAGAGAAGACGATAGCTGCAGATATCGGCAATGAGTAAGCAAATCCAACGTCCATTGACGTTGACGGTGACGGTGCTGGAGCCATTTCGAAGTCTTGCGACGATACAATAACAGAGAAGATAGCGATGACCAAGAAAACTGTCAAAGCCTTGAATGAGCTCAATTGGGCCATTGTAGATCAGAGAGAGAGAGAGAGAGGGAGAGAGAGTGTTTCTCTATGGAGATTGAATTTGAAACAGAAGAGATAGTAGCAGTAGTGATGCTTGCAATAGGATGGAAGATAGTGAGGCAAGAGGGAGATATATATAGGAGAGGGATTTTCAAAGTAGGGTTTAGATTTTTGAAAAGACTCAAATTAAATGATGAGTGGAGTTATTTTTTTTATTTGGAAAAAAAAAAAAAAAAAATTAAGATTTGAATATCGAAGTTAGTAGGATTTAGATTTTCAAAATAGGGTTTAGGTTTTCAAAAAGGCTCAAATTAAATGATGGATGGAGGTTTGTTTTTTTTAAAAAAAAAAATCAAAAAATGTGGCATATTGAAGTTCTCACAGGACTTGGGGGTTAAAAATCCCATTTTGCTTAATATATAGTATAGATATAGATATAGATAGATTGTGATTTTTAAATATTTTTTTTATTATTATTTTAAATGTCTTCTTTTTATCATTTTTTTATATTACATTAAAGTTTAATATTTTGATAATAATCATATGTGTTGGACTTTTCAATGAATTAAATGTTTTTTTTATTATATTATATTAAACTTTAATATAATCATATGTGTTGGACTTTTTAAGGAATTAAATGTCTTTGATAATAATCATATGTGCTGGACTTTTCAAATAATTTTTTTTTTATGTTTGTTCTTAATACATTGAAGTGTTATTATGAGGGATAATAATTATATGTGTTGGGACTTTTCAAGGAATTCATGTGTTGGATTTCAAAGATTTTTTTTCGTGCTTGTTCTTAAAGCATTAAAGTGTTATTATGAGGATAAGACTTAGGAGTTGAGAGAAATTAATAAATGCTAAGATTTTTTTTTTAAATCAAAAAATCAAGAAATTTAGATTGGGAGATTGGAGCTCCCACAAGGCTTGGGGTTGAAAACCCCCTTTTGCTTAATATATAGTATAGATTGTAAATATATTAAGGAAAATGGGGTTTCTAAACCCCAAGTCTTGTGGGAGCTCCAATCTCTCAATCTTAATTTTCTAAATTTTTTATTTAAAAAAAAAATATCAGCATTTATTGATTTGATCAAAAATTCTTGATCATCATTTATTAACTTTTTCCAATCCTCATGCCTACATTTATTGATTTGGTCAAAATCATTGATTAGCATTTAAAATCATCTCATACAAATAATTATAGATACAACTCGTGCATAGTTACTGCAGTAGCCTTTTTAATTTCTCTTGTACATTATGGTTAGTGATAAGATTGTTAAATTATTTTTATAAAAAATCTTAAAAAACATAATTTATATATTAAAACAAATTAAAACAAATATAAATATCTATAATTATTATGCGCATAACACGGGTGATAGGCTATCTATACTATATACTATATATTAAGCAAAATGAGATTTTTAACCCCAAGACCTGTGGGAGTTTCAATATTCCAATCAAAATTTTCTAAATTTTTTATTTTTTATTTAAAAAAAAACTCAGCATTTAGTGATTTGGTCAAAATCCCCTTATCAACATTTATTAACTTTTTTCAATCCACATGTTTTTCCACATGCCTGCATTTATTGATTTGATCAAAATTTCTTGATCAGCATTTAAAATCCTCTTATACAAATAATTATAGATATAATCCGTGTATAGTTACTGCAGTACCCTTTTCAACTTCTTCCATACATTATGGCTAGTGATAAGATTGTTAAATTATTTTTATAAAAAATCTTAAAAAACATAATTTATATATTAAAAAAATGTAATACAAATATAAATATTTATAATTATCTCGTGCATAGCACGGGTGATAGGCTAGTATTATATAAGGAAAATGGAGTTTCTAACTCACAAGTTTTGTGGGAGTTTCAATATTCCAATCCTAATTTTTTTAATTTTTTGATTTTAAAAAAAATAAATAACATTAACATTTATTGACTTCTCCCAACCCATAAATCTTTTTGACTTCTCTCATAGTTATTCCAACACAGCATCCTTTTCAACTTCTTCCATACATTGATTAGTGATGAGATTGTTAAATTTTTTTAGATACATCTAAATAAGATGCATTTAAAAAGATAAAAAAATTACTTAAAATTTAAAAAATATTCATTAAAAACAAAAAAAAAATGAAAAACAAAAAATTCAATTTCTAGAAAACTAAAATCGAACACACTGAATATTATCATTACTTAAATAATGTTAGTGCACAAAATAGTTATTCCGAGGCTCGAACCCATAACCTCAGAGTCATTAGATCAAGATTTTACTATTGAACTAATGGTCAATATTATTATTACTCTTCTGTTAAAATGTATATTTTTTCATTTATTTAATTTAATATCTACTTTTTATTGAATTAATTTTAGTCATTTTAATTATATTAAAAATAAATAAATAAATTTAATTATATCAAAAGTATAAGCGTAACTATAATTTTTTTTTATTTTTTTATTTTATTCATAGTAACAATAATTATTTATAAACGCTAAGATAGAGAAATGAGTGTAATTTATCTCATATTTTTATTCAATTTGCATGTATTGGTCATGTAGATGGCCCACCCATGGTCAAATTTTTTATTGTTAATTGTGATTTCTTCTTGCAATATTTTTTATTGTTAATTTGATGGCTCGTGCTCAGGTATTGTTTTCACGAGTTAAGAAGCTAGTCTAGTGATTTAATGATCACACTTGATCTTTGTTTATTTGGTAGTGTTATATTCATAATATTAGTTATGACAACTCATTAATCACATTATAAATATTAATATCTTATTAAATTATGTCATATCATCAATAAATATTAATTAATATATCAATTAATACATATAACATTATTCTTGTTTATTCTGTAATTTTTGACAATTTCTGACCAGTTGTATGGCCAATCACCATATTCGTTCACGCTAACCACCCTCATTTGACAACTCACTAAACATATGTTGTAATTTTTGTTTATAATTTTTTTTTTTCAAAACTTCTGTGTACACCATACAAGCATTTTGTTTTTATTTAAAAACTAAACTTGTTTCAAGAAATTGATACTATTCTATCAAACCACGTACCTAAAGAAACAATGAAGAATGGACCTGTTTGTTGTAAGTTTTTATAAATTATAAATTGATACTAAAAAAAACTAAAATCTAAAAACATTCATCACTTATTTTTTAATAATTAATTTGTCACAATTTATTTAAACAGTTTTTATTTTATAAATTATTTGCAGAAGTTGTATTAAAACATCTAACGTAGACTCTTGAAGAAAAAATATATGGTTGCGTTTGGTAGAGTTTTGTAAATATAATTTGAGAGAATGAGTTGTATTTTGAGTTTGTGAGTTGTGGAATTATAATTTGAGTGTAAAAAATTTGTTTGATTATGATTTTTAAATAGAGTGTTGAATTGAGTTTTGAATTGAGTGTGGAATTGAGTTTTGAAAATTTGATTTGACATGTGAAGGGAGAAAATTTGTTTGGTTATGAGGTTTGAAAAGAGTTTTCAAAACTTAATTCTAATTGTTATAGCTCATAACAAAACACACTACTTTTACATTATTGAAAATTCTAATCAACACTTATAATCAAACTCTTTTTAAAATTCAATTAAAAAAATTTATTATTAATAGAAAATAACATTAATCAATTTTTTAATTGAAAATACTAAAAAGGAAATAATTTTTTTTCAAAATAAATATTCAAAAAATTTAAATAATAAATATTTAAATAATTTAAATAATCTAAAAATTTTAAATAAATATTCAAAAATTTAAATCGTAAAAATTTAAATAATTTAAATATTCAAAAATTTTAAATAATTTAAAATGTTAATATTTTAAATTTAAAAACAATTCTACACTCAAATCGTAACCAAACACATAAAACAAAACTCAATTAAGAAATTATTTTAAAACTCATAACCAAACACATAACTCGAAACTCCATACTACTTTCACAACGCTACACTTAAATCGTAACCAAATACATAACAAAAAAATTAAAATATTTTAATTTTTTTTATAAAATAGAGTTTGAATTTATTTTTATAAAATATTCTAAAATTTAAAAAATTAAAATCGTAATATTTTGAAATTAAAATATTTAAAAATATTCAAAAATTTTAAAATTTAAAAAAATCATAACATGTTTAAATATTAAAATATTTAAAAAAATTAAAATACTAATTTGAATTGAGTTTTGAAAAGAGTTTTAAATTATGTGTTTTGTTATGAGTTTTAAAAAGTAATGTTTATGTTTTGAATTAAGTTTTGAAAAATAGATGTAAAATTATGATTTAAAACCTCAAAACACACAACACACTTAAATTAATGGGTAAAACTATAATTTAAGAGACTTATCAAACGGAGCCATATATATAGTTGAAATATTAGAAACTTCTACTTCACAACACACACACACACAAATAATTCTCACTATTTTATTTTGTAGTTGGTATGTTCAATTTTGAATAAAATTTTTTACTTTATTATTATTATTTGATATCTAAATAATTAGTATTTCTAAAGAATTGTTTGGAATGATCTAAATAAATGTATTTTTTATCTTTTACGAAAAGATATACAAAAAAATAAAAAAATAATATGATAAAAAAAATAAAAAATATATATTTATTTAGAATAATCAAACTTTGGCTAAATGCAAAAATAATGTAAAAGAGAAAAAAAAGGGGTGTAGCTCCCATTGTTCTTCCTGTGGGTTCTGAAAGTCTCTTTTTTCTCCAAAAGTCAGAAACTTACAGCTCTGACTACAATACCCAAACAACTTCTCCCAATAAATTAGTAGTATTACAGATTCAGATAAAGAGGAGTCTCCCTCTTCCTTTAATTCAAAAGCTCTCAAATTTTTTTATTTGCTTGTACTTTTTTGTCTTTACTCTCTATCCCTCTCTCTTTTTCCCTACTCTCTTCCCTTTCGTCCCTTTCCTTCCTTCCTCTTGAATTCAAATCTAGGGTTTCTCTTTTCTTTCTTTGTGTTCAAGCACACTTCACAGTTTAAGAACATTCTTGTTAAGCTCTGGTTTGAGTGTGACTTTAAAGCTTCAGCCTTTTCTGCATTCCTTCGACTAGTAGGCTCTGCTATGATAGTGAAAAGATTCAGGCTTTAGCATTAGTTCCTTATTTTCTTTTTCATTTTCTCTTGTGGGTACAATCTTAAATTTTTTTTGGTTAATTCTTCTTCTATTTTTTTCCCCCTTCATATTTACAAGAAAAACCCTGTTAAACCCTTGTTAGGTTTTTTTTTTTCTTATTATTTTTGTACTTTTGATTCAGTTTTAGTGGGTCAGTCGTAGATTTGGGGTTGAGGTGAGTATTTACAGAGTAAATGCATGGATGGAAGGGAAAGCATAGCACTATCAGGATCTTCTTCTTACTATCTCCATAGAGGGTTTAGTGGGTCTGCTTCAACACACAATGGTTTACATGCCCCACCTAGTTTCAGCTCTCCAACAAACCCTAACCTTTCAGTTCAGTCCAACGTAAGGGATAGTAGCCCTGTAGGGCCAACATTCCCAGTAGAAAACACATCCCCTAGTTTTCCTCATGGCCTTAACATGGGTATGCCAATGGGGCAGCCAGCCAAGAAAAAAAGAGGGAGGCCTAGAAAGTATGGTCCAGATGGGACCAACATGTCTCTAGGACTCTCTCCAATGTCTGCGCCGGGGTCTATGACGCCGACCCCAAAACGGGCTAGAGGCCGGCCGCCTGGCAGTGGGAGGAAGCAACAATTAGCATCTCTTGGTGAGTTTTCTTATTAGAAAAATCTAATTTGATGTCTGTGTAAATATGCAATTAATTAATGATATGTCTGAGTTGTTAGCTTGTGATTATGTGTCTCTTTGCTCTTTGTAATGGACTACATTTCAGATGCAACACTGCCTAACAATGAGAATTTAATATGATAGTTTCAGTGATGTGCTTAATCTTTCTTGGGTAGTTTGTTGTGTGGTTGGTACTTTGATGAATTGATTAATTTTAGTGACGTGTTTTTATACATTTGTTTAATTTCTTAAAAGTTTGTTTGAAATATGCCCAAAACATATTGTTGATTATAATGTCTGTCTGTAAAATCTTCATAGGCAAGTACAATTGTGTTAGCAAAATATTCATCAGAACAAGTTACAAAGTTTTGACCTTGAGGTTATTTACATAAATCAAAAGTCCTCGATTTATGCAGTTAACTTTTTATCAAATTATGAAACTGTCTCTACCAGTCTCTGATTTGGAGACACAAGTATTTGGGAACTAGAATGTTGATATCTACCTTCTCTGTTTAAAGTGTTACTCAAATAGTAGGGTTTGTTAGTTTTGGTTACTTTTTATTGTTATTTGAGCTGTTTGACATGTAATTTAGGCTGTATGGATGTTTCTTTTTCTTTTTCTTCTTCTTCTTCTTCTTTTTTTTTTTTTTTTTTTTCTTTTGAGGTTGGAGTAATTGATCTTGTTCTTGAATCATCAATGTTGATCTGCCAGGTGAATGGATGAACAGTTCGGCAGGACTCGCTTTTACACCTCATGTCATCAACATCACAGAAGGGGAGGTATGCTACAACTATGAAGTTGATTTCGCTACTTTTCTTTCCTAGGACTTGAAAGAGGTTTATGTTGTATGTATCTGTTTTGAACTTTATTTATTCAAAGAATAATGCTTGGGACCCCCTTTTGGGGGTCACCCCCTCACCCCCTTTGCCACGTGGCTGGTGGTGATTGGAGGAGCAGGAAAAAAAAGAAAAAGAAAAAGAAAAGGTAACCAATGAAAGAGAGAGGAGGTCAAAGGGGGTGGGAGAAAAAGGGGGATGAATCATTGTTGTTATTCAAAATTTCTTTGTTGCTTCGATAGTGTGTGTGTCTGTGTGGTTGGGGGGCTAACAAGGTGCCCGGGCCTCTTATATTAGCAGATTGACTCTTGGGTACTTCCAGTTCCCTGATTGCACATGTACTGAGTAATTACCACGACACATATCTGACTAGTTTTCCTAAAAATAAAAAATAAAATAAAATAAAATAAAATAAAAAGAAAAAGAGAGGGGGTTTTAATGGAAAAGGACCAGGTCTAACTAGACTGAATTGGTCTCTTTCTAGCATTTAGTAGAAGATTGTAGTTTAGCATGGTTTATACATGGTTAGGTTTTCTTTGCTTTAATTGCAGGAAGGGAGGGCATTGGGGAAGTGATAATGATGCTGTAAATGTAAGGATAGATCATAGTTATGAGGGCACATTGAACATTATCTTTTAATTATTTTTCTAAAGTTCAGTCTATTTGTTGGCAATACAGTTGGGTAAAGAGGGAGGATAACATTGTTGATGCGAAGATGGATTATTGTAGACGTCCCTGAACGCCCCGGGAGGAACGAGCTCCCGTTCCGTTCGATATTGGGCTCACTACAGCTCAGGACTCTCAAATGTCACGGTTCTAAGTCTGAACCAAAGAGTTCAAATCCGGCAAATCGTTTTGAGAAAACAGATTTTTGAAAGAATTGTCAAACATGGACTGCTTTGCCAGATACAGAGTCGCCACCTAAATATTTTATTTTGAGAAATTTAGGAAACCTTGACTCGTTGCCTAAGGCCATGTGTCCGTCATCACCAAAGTTGCCTCGGCTCGGGAACATGGGTACGATTGAGGAAGGTCACTTCGTGAGCACCCCCGCTCGCCCGATCAAAGATCGGCCTCTACTAACCCTCGGGTGGGCTTAGAAAACATGATTTTGCCACTATCTAGTGGGCTTAAAACACACATTTGATGAATTGTTCTAATTCAAATAACCCAACATTCACCCACAGGCATTCAGGCAGTTATATCACATAAGCAATTAGCCTCATGGTAAGCATGCTATCATGGCAGTCACTCACACGCATGTAAGGATGCTAAAGCATAAAACTCACCGAGTACTCCAAGTCAAAACAGAAACTAATTAGAAATCCATGCATGATCCTAATTATACAGAAGTGCCTAATGCAACACATGCAAAAATGCAACTATAGCAAGATCGGCTATTCTAAACATGGCATATGAAATGCTACAGCTAACATGTATTTAATTTGGAATTGAGATGCGCCGAGCCCGGTGCGTGCAAAACAGATGAATGATGCAAACATGCTGTCATACTGTATGCTAATTGAAATATGCCCTAATCTAACCATCATAAGCAGGTAAATAAAAGGGAAGAAAGACGTGGGGTTAGAAGACATACATCACACTCACCCACACTTATTACAATTATGCCCTCGCACAGAGGGTCCGAATAAATAGTACAGTCCAAATAATACAGTCCGAATATGAACAAATTCCTAATTAATTTACAAATTAATTAAGAAAAGTAATAAACTGGCATGCAAGCCAGGGACTGCCTTGACTCTTCTGAATGATGCATGTCTGGGCTGCCTTGCGCGGAAATCCACTGGGATGTCCCGATTAGCCTCTGTTTTGTAATTTTTCTTGGAAAGCGCGCCAAGATCCGGAAGGTCGCTAATTCTTGATTTGCTGCAATAGAGAGCAGGAAAGAGGCATAGCAATGTATTTTCACAAAATGTATGCATACCTCAATCCTCGTGCCACCAATCACGCATATCGATGCATGATGGCCGAGGAGTCGAATTGCACAACTCAATATGGAATGAATGCGCATGAAAACAAAACAAAAACCTAACTCTATCATGGATAATCCGGAGTGTCGGTGATTGGGAATTGAGACACGTTCCGTCACTCGGAGTACGAAACGTACCTCGTTTCCCGTGCTTGGGCTAATCCCTATCCCAAGCACAATGCAATATGCATGATATGCATGAAATGCAACTAAGATACAACCTAATATACACAATGCTATGAAATGGCATACACGATGCACGAGGTAACATGGCATACACGATGCGCTAACATACAACCTAGCATACGTAATGCTATGAAATAAAATGGTATACACAATGCATAAATGGACTTACACTAACACAAGTAGACCTCAGCCACACTCACATAAGAGGCCATAAGATGAAAATGAGACAATTCGGAATGCGTGCACACATGCACACAAACCGAGGACCGATCCTAAGGCACAAAATGCCACTCTAACAAGACATGGCAAGGCATGGAATACGGCATACAAGCATGCAAATTTCAGCGCTAAAATATGACCCGAAACAGTCCCGAATCATGGAAACATGGCACCCGGTGCATGAAATGAAACCGAAACACGAAACTAGGCATATGCATTGGCCTATAGCTATACAAAACATGCATTATTTGAACATGAAATGTGAGGACAGATTCAAGACATCCCCAAAACAAGCATGTTTACATTTGTAATCAAGACCAAAAAATGAACACAAATTGGGCTAAGCTAGCATGCGAAAATGGCCCTAAATGTGAGATAAAGAAGCAAGTCATGGCTTCTGGCCTCAAACATGAGAGGGCCCTTCAACAATGTTGAAGAGGGACCCAAAAAATGTCATTTCACAGTTTATGATCAGACCCAAAACAGTGTACAAGCATGCTCAAAATGCTATGCAAAATAAGGCCAAAAAGAGAGCTATAACACAAAGTATAAAAATGATACCTCAAATAGTGAAAGACCCTTAATAAAACATGAAGATGGGGTCAAAATAAGGTCATTTGTAGTTCGGACCAAAGCCCAAAAACAGAAGCATAAGAGGCTAACAAATCATGCAAAAATGGAGCAAAAAGAGAGATACAAAGGCAAGTGGCAAATGGAAGCCTCAAACAGTGATGAACCC